TCTTCCAGTTTCCTGTTCTCCACCAGCTATTCAAATCTATCCTTGAGTCCCATGCTCTTCAAGCCTGTCTGTTCCCTTATGCCACCCTATGCTGCCTGTAAGAGTTGGAAAATAACATGTATTTGAGGATGATTTATTCAGGGAAATAACTGATGACCCTTTTTATGCAGATTACAATTTATGTAAATTCTTTCCATAAGAAACAAAGTCAATTGTGTTGCATTCATTTCATTTCTAAGCAAAAACTTGGCATGTTATTGCTTTAGGTTAGGTTGGTTTGGGTTCCTGCTTTTCACCTTGCCAACTTGCCAGTGGTATGCATTAACTGTACTTGAAACAGAGGCTGTCACATCAAACATGCTCTAACATGTTGTTAGCAACAATTTAATATTGGTTAAATAATATACTAAATATGATTTAAAATTAAATTTTTCATTAATATTCTTATCCAGCATGTAAAAATGATTCATTAAGTTAATGGTTTAATATGCATTTCCTAATAGTGCAGTAGAAATATAACACCTTATTGTATTAAACTTAACATAGCATATTCTCCTGCCCTTCTAAGCTGTATTCATTTGAGAATTGTAGTGTTCATAAAAATACTTCTTTTAAAAGTATGTTCATAGAAATCAGAATCTGAGCCAGTTTTCCAAATCCTGCATTTTGTGTGAGAAAAGTTCCATATTTTTCTATTAGAGAAAGACATAAGAAAGTTTGAAGTAAGAAGTCAAACTGAGGAAAGGGAATCTTGGGATTTGGAAATACAGCAGAATTGTGTGAATAAATGTCTCATCATAAAGACAATTTAAGAATCAGAAACTACAAATCAGCTAGTCATTTATTTAAGGAAAAATACTACCTAATGTGGTTATTCCTGAACCAGTATTTTCACATATCTTCCTATTACAAACAGTTGCGCATTTTAAAATGTTCATTATGTTGTCCTCCACTGGACTCTCTCCAATTTGTTTACATCCTTTCTGTAGTGGGGGGCCCAAAACTGGACACAGTACTCCAGATGCAGCCTCACCAGTGCTGAATACAGGGGAATAATCACTTCCCTCGATATGCTGGCAACACATCTACCATTGCAGCCCAGTATGCACGTTTTTGGCTCATATTCAGCTTATTGTCCACTGTAACCCCAGGTCCTTTTCTGCAGAGCTGCTGCTTAGCCAGTCAGTCCCCAGCCCATCTCAAGATAAAAGTTATATCCAGAATTCCGCATGAACTTTGCTGGTTTTCTCTCTCAAGAATTTCATAATGAATTTATAATTTTTGTAGGACATAGAAATCTGGTTATATTTGTGAACTTTGTGATGGTTCCTTCCTTTTCTTAAGCAGTGCATTACAACTTCAAAACTAAATTGGAGTTTGTTTTCTCAAATTACTTTTGTCAGCCTTTATAATCAAGCTGTCTCCCCAAACAATTGTTATAGATGTATATGCAGGAATTTTTCTCTTAAATCTCTTCAAAAGGGTTATTGTGACAGGGTGAAACTGCCAGGAAAAGATTAATGGCTTGTTGCTTGTGAAATGACTCGTTGAGGAATTGAGGGAAGGATTGTGGTCTCTTTCAGGGCTAAGGTAGTTGAGAAGAAAGGCCTTTGTAGACTCCAATCCATGTTGGTCAAGGAATTTGCTTTGTTTTGTGTTGTTTGTGAGTTTTTGTGTTAATAAAATATACTGTGCCCTCAGACAAGTGCTCTGGTCCTCTCCAGGCAATGTGCTGGTCCTCTCCAGGTTAGGTACTGCATTACACAGGCAGCCTGAAGATAGACTGAATCCAAAGGCCTAACTGAAATGACTCATGGAAAAATGATAGCAGTAGTGGCAGCACCAAATAACATCCTTGGTAGTTTTAGCAGAAATAATCAGAAAAGCCAGGAATAGTTTTTTCTTTGCCTAACAGATAACGCTGGCCCAGACTCAGGGTTTTCGGACATAGTTCATTTTACCCTGGATGAGGAGGGTATCTCAGTAAGATGCAGGGCAACCTTGGGTCATCCTAAACATTTTTGAATGTGTGGCAGCTGCCAAGTAATAGTCCTAAGGGGCGCTGCCATCAAACAGGGTTAGCCCAGTTTTCGCAATGTGTTACAGATTTGACGTTGGCAGAATGCTTTGAAGCGCTGAAAGTGGGTATCGTAAATTGTTTGAGCTCAGCAAGGAAGGCTACTGGCAATTGTTTCTACTAGAGGAAAATGGCTCAGGCCCTTGGCTTGTAGCAGTGACTTAGGACTTTTTTACACATAATTTTAGGTGGCTCAGGGAGCTCTTGACCCCAGGATAGTCCACACATTAAGATATTAAAATTGTTTTAAGCACCCATTAAGCATCTTAAAGTTGTGCCACTCCAGGGTAGGTTTGTTTATCATCTGTGTTATCCAGCTTATGCTCTAAGTTACATATTAGTGTAACATCCCACCTGTTCCCCCTCCACCACTGGCCTGGATTGGGCCTGTTGCCCCTTCTACCATCTAGGTTGGGTTGCCATCCCTTCCCCCCCCCCCACATTCCCTGCTGCTGTGGATTAGGCCTGCTGTCCCCTGTTGCCATCCATTGCTGGCTTGGATTGGGTCCACAGCCTTGCTCATCTGGAACAGGCATCCCCCAGGGCTCCAGATTGTCCTCCCCCACCTGCATCTCCTGGCTCACCTGTAGCTGCCTGCACTGTCCCAGGGGAGTAGGGAGGGAATGGGAACTCACTTGCCCAGCTTCCACTGCTGCTGCTCTCTGTGCTGGGCTCAGCCCAGACAGCAGCTGTGGCTTGGTGGTGGTGACTAGGCAGGCAGGTTCTCCTTCCCTGTCTGCTCTTCTTGGACCTTACTGGCACAAATGAGCTGGGGGACACGGACGTGGTTGAGCCCTGAGAGGTGAGGCAGCAATGAGGGAGCCCTGAGGGGCAGGGGGAGAGCCCCAGGAGTGGGAGGGAAGAGGGGAGCACCAGGAGGCAGGGGGTAGTGGGAGCCTGGAATGGAAGGGGATGGGGGGTAGGGATTCTTACCTTTCAGTCCTCCAGGTTCCTGCTTATCATGGACAAGTCACAGTTGTGCAGGTCTAGAAAAGTTAGAGGTTTTTAGCTTGAATGTGTGACTGCTTTAAAGTTGAGCTAACACTAACATTTATTACCACTTTGAAAAGCCTGAGCATAATGTGTAACAAGGCCCTCAATATCTATGGGTTTTTTCTCATGTTAAAGCCAGAAATTTGGTCCTCAGAGGTTCTGGCATTGGATCAGTTTTGTCAGATTTTGTCATCACGGTCAAAAGAATGGATCTGCTTCCAGTAGGTACCCTGCTGAGAGGTACTAGCATGCCTGGTAGAGAATTTCCTGGAGGCAGAATGGGACTGTGGAACTACTGAAGCAGAGTCCTTTCATTCACTGTTAGGCCATCTGGAAGTGGATGGTCATGGACTGTTACACTGCCATAGAGCCACAAAGCCTTCTGATGGTGCCTAAGAAGGTAGAGCTAACAGTGCGCCTAATATCAAGTCTGGAGCTAGAGATGAAGGATCTTTTTAAAAGAGGGTCTCTGGCTAAAGATCTGGGACTAAGCTTGATAGATTAGTATTAGCAAACCTTAACGTCTCTGCTTCCTTTCTTTTAGAAAAAGCAAGAATATATGCATATAATATTCAGCATCCTTTAGCCCACTGTCACTAGCCCACTTGACTTTATGGGACAGTGGCTCATGTCTTCCACTGACAAACGTCTTCTGAAATCATACTTCTTTTGTGACATTTCTTACTCACACATCCAGCTTGCAAAGAAGGGGAGGAACATGCCTACTCATAACTCAGATTGATTGGCAGTAATGTCTTCTATCATTCTTTTTGCATTTTGCATTAAAGAGTCATTGGAAAAACTCCAAAACTAGCATTGGGGGCAGAGAGCAAGCTCTTGAATGTGGTGCATCACTTGCTTGAAATATCCTCCTAGTAGGGCTGAAATATGTCTGTGCTATGTTAGATGAAAAAGCCTTCTAGTGGCAGTCCTCATTACAGTTCTTCATGCAATGAAGGCTTCATGGAGAACAAGACTCAATCTCTAACAAAAGGGAGTGTTTGGAAGTTTGGACAGAGGCCCCATGAGAGAGCAAGATTAACATATATATCAGCATATAAAGAGTATATTTTCCAGTCCTGCATGGCTGAATCATGGTGCTTGCTAGCTCACCTCTGTGAGTGGGTGACGTGGCTCTGTGGGCCAGAGGTTGGGCATCCCCATTCTGTTGTTCTTCTGTAGTCAAGAAATAAGTGAAAGTTCATGGCTGACGTTTTCTGAGTGGTGTCTTGAGCCTAAAGATGTTGAGCATCACTGGAATAAAGGAAAGGGATTCCTTCTATCTCAGGTTGAGAGAGGTGAAAAGAAGGGCCACTGAGGACAGCAGCCCACTTCAATGAGGGATCCTTATTTTGTGTTAATTATTTTCAGCTCTGTAATTAAATGCAGTGTGTTGCTTCATAAGATATGCTGTGGTACTGGAACAAAACTTTTTACTGTTTTAAATTGACATACTTTGAGCTACATCCTTCTTGGGTTGCAGAGAACTCTGGCAGATTGAATAAGGTAAGCAGAATCTGCACATTTGAGGAATGATCTGTAGAGACCATAGCTTAGTTAATCTGAAATCCAGTAACCCATGTAGGATTCAATTCTTCATTTTGATTATGTAGCTTTACACTAATGTAGAATAACTTGATTCAGTGGAATTAGATAGGTGTATTCAGCTTATGAAGTGGCAATCATGTCATAGAATATAAAATATGTTTTTCAATTACACTTAACTGGATTTTGTTTAGATTGTGTGCATCTCTGTCTCCCATCTCCTTCCTGTCCCCCATAGATATTTGGCTAAGTAGTTAATGATTGTTACTAGAGGGATAAAACAAACCCACAATCTTCTTTCAATTCCTATCAAAGAAAAAAATCTATTGTTCAATATTTGTTTCTGGTTTTACTATTTGATTGTATATCTATATTTTCCCTTTAGGAAAAATTGGATGTAGGGATAAGAAAAGAAGTGGATGGAATGGGAGCACCTGAAATAAAATATGGTGACTCTGTATGCTATATACAACACGTAGACACGGGCCTGTGGCTCACATACCAGTCTGTGGATGCAAAGTCTGTAAGGATGGGATCAGTGCAGCGCAAGGTAAGATGGGTGATAAGAGTATGTTTTTTATTCAGAGATAATTGGGCACAACGTGAAGAATGTGAAGAAAAATGTGAAAAAATCATTATCCCAAATGTTTTGCACCTGCCTTTGTATTCTGATACAAAAATGTAAAGTGCTTCTAGGCATGTGAAAATCAAACAAAGTATTATTTCAAATATTTTTGAATTGCTAGACGGAAGAACCATATAAAAATTACAAGAATATAAGGTACCATATAAGATGTCATATAAGATACTGTATTTTCCTGTGTGTTGTAGTTATGGTTGAGGAAGCATTTTAATTGAGTCTCTGTTTTCAGAAGCTTGACAGTTTAATGAAAATATCATCCTTTGGGCTAAAATTTTTAATTCTTGTTTTTAGCCCATAACCATTTTTTTCTTTTAAAGGGTGATAACCATGGTCAAATAAAATTTAATCTCAGTGAACAAAAGGAGAGAAAAGATGCTTTTCAGGATTTCAGACATTTTCTGGCTGCTGTATTTGTGCTTCCTTTTAAATTTCTAACTTGGCATGAAATTAATTCTCAATGAGGAAAAATGCCTGAGATGTCTCTGAAGAAATAGCCTAGATGTAATTGAGTGGTTATTGAGAAAAGCATTTGCACATCCACAGAACACTATTTTTCTGCAAGTGTTTTACATCATGGAGGTACAAAGGTAGAGCAGCTATGGGTATTTCTGGAGTAACGCAACCTGAAATACATTAACTAGTTATGGTGAACCTTCCAGGCTCTAAGAGCATCTATACATGTGCTCTAGCGCATGTGTGTGTGTGGGGGGGGACTTTAATTAGAGTGGATTGGCTCTGGAAGCCACTCTCATTAAAAGTGCCTGGAGCATCACATGTATTTAGCATATTGTGCTTCAAAATGGTAGCAGAGGTACTTTAATTAAAGCTTGTTCATAGCTTGTTCATGGTGGTGGGACCATTTTGAAATGCAGGACACTGAATACAGGCAATGTGGAGGCTCCTGAAGCACACTAATTTGCATGCCCCAGCAGACTCACAGCAGACTTGATTAATTGAATTTGCTCTGGTGCATGCTAATTAGCACATGTTGGAGCAGAGGTTTGTCATGTGTATAGGTGCCTTAAGAACCTCATCTTAATATTAACTGCATCTCGCATGGTCAAATATAATCTTTCTTCTTGATTTTCATCATAATCTGTCTGAATTTGCATCCAATTTTGAAGTTGCACTATATAATGCTGTACACTGAAAATTAATAAATAGGGTGACTGCAGCTTAGCAAAAAGGTTGCCAAACTGGCAGACCTCTTTTAATACCATATTTCATAGATTTCATAGACATTAGGGCTGGAAGGGACCTCAGAAGATCGAGTCCAGCCCCCTGCCCCAGGGGCAGGAAGTCAGCTGGACTCACAGGATCCCAGCAAGATACACATCCAATTGACTCTTAAAGGAGCCCAGAGTAGGTGCTTGCATCACCTCTGGCAGCAGTTCGTTCCAGGTCTTGAGGGTTTGGACAGTAAAGAAGTTCTTCCTTATGTCCAGCCTGGAAAGGTGTTGGAGAAGTTTGTGACCATTTGACCTTGTCAGCCCATGGAGTGCTCTGGTGAACAGGCGTTCTCCCAGATCCTGATGTATACCCCTTATATACTTATAGGCAACCACCAGGTCCCCCCTGAGCCTGCGCTTTTCCAGGCTGAAGAGTCCCATAGCTCTCAGCCTCTCATCATAAGGTCTGTTTTCCTGCCCTCTGATCATGCATGTGGCTCTCCTCTGGACTCTCTCAAGCTTCTCCACATCCATTTTAAATTGTGGAGCCCAGAATTGGATGCAGTACTCCAGCTGCGGCCTCACCAAGGCCGAGCAGGAGGATGACATCCTGGAATTTGCTAGAGAAGCATCTATGGATGCAAGCCAGAGTTTTGCTTGCTTGCCAGCTGCAATATCACATTGGTGGCTCATATTCATCTTGTGGTCACTCGTGACCCCCCAAGTCCCTTTGGCCATAGTGCTAGCAAACGTAGCACTGCTGAGCCTATAAGCATGTTGTGGGTTTTTCTTCCCAAGGTAGAGTACCTTGCATTTTTCAGTGTTGAAGGCCATCAGGTTTTTCTCCACCCATTTTCTGAGCCTGTGCAAGTCGGCCTGGATCACCATCCTGTCCTCAGTTGTGGACGCCTTACCCCAAAGTTTGGTGTCATCAGCAGACTTGGCCAGTCCGCTTCTGATACCAATGTCCACATCATTAATGAAGATGATGAAAAGAATAGGCCTAAGGACAGAGCCTTGGGGGACCCCACTGGTCACAGTGCACCCCAGTGATTGACTTCTGTCAACTACCACTCTCTGGGTCTGACCTCAGAGCCAATTCCCTAGCCAGTGGTCTGTGATGTAACTGAGGCTGCAGTTGTCCAGTTTTTTTATGAGATGATCATGGGATACCAGATCAAAAGCTTTTTTAAAATCAAGATGTATGACGTCAATATCTTCTCTTTTGTCCAGGTTATATGTCACCTGGTCGTAGAAGGAGATGAGATTGGTCAGGCAAGACCTACCCGCAACAAACCCATGCGGGTTATCCCTCAGGAAGTTGCCTTCAGCCAGTTTGTCAAGAATTGTCTCTTAGATGATTTTTTCCAAGAACTTCCCTGTGATAGAGGTTAGGCTGATGGGCCTGTAGTTCCCTGGACCTACCTTCCTCCCTTTCTTGAAGATAGGCACTACATTGGCTTTCTTCCAATCTTTGGGCACTTCACCTGAGTGCCACGAGTTCTCAAAGATCCATGCCAGTGGCAGAGCTATGATGCTTGCCAGCTCCTTAAGTAGACTGGGGTGTCAGCTGTCTGGGCCAGCTGACTTAAAGGTGTTCAGCCTTTCAAGGTATTCCTTCAGATGGTCAACATTGATGAAGAGTAACAATTCTCCCTTGCCCTTGCTGTCCCATTCTGTATTGAGCAGGGCTGTCCCTTGGGGCTGGTGAAAAACTGACACAAAATACCCGTTAAGCAGGTTGGCTTTTTCTGGGCATCAGTTGTCAATTGACCCGTATGGTTAAGCAGGGGTCCAGTGTTACCCTTGCTTTTCCTCTGGCTCCCCACATACCTAAAAAAGGACTTTTTATTGTCTTTGATACCTGTAGCCATTTGGAGTTCAGTTACAGCCTTGGCTTTCCTGGTTTGCTCCCTACAGGTCCGGACCAGTGCATAGTACTCCTTCTTTGGGGTGGATCCTTTATAGGTCTTTCTTGTTAGATGCAGGAGGTCTGTTAGTTCTGTGCAGAGCCAAGGGGGCTGCCGTGCCCTTTTGCTGCCTTTCCTCTAAGACAGGATAGACACTGCTTGAGCTTTCAAGATCGGTCCCTTGAGAGCAACCACTCTTCCTGGACTCCCCTCCCCTTTGGGTCGAGGTCACTTAGGGTCTCTCCAGGAAGCCTCCTGAGCTTGTCAAAGTCAGCTTTCCTGAAGTCAAGGACTTCTGCATTGCTGACTGACTTGCAAGCTTTATGGCAGATGGTGAAGGTGATCAGCTCATGGTTGCTGTCTCCCAGATTCCCTTCAATCATTAGGTGAATGAGTAAGTCATCCCCCATTGCCAGTACTAGGTCGAGTAACGCTTTGCCTCTTGTCAGTTCATAGACTTCTTGAGTCAGAGCTCATCCACACATGAGAAACCTTTGTGACCATTCTGATGTGGCCGAGTGCTCTTCCCGTGAGATGTCAGGGTAGTTGAAATCTCCCATGACAACCATGCGCTGGGAGCGTGTAGCCACAGCTAGTTTCCTGGTGAATTCCTGGTCAAGCTCTTGATCCTGGCTAGGAGGTCTATAGTAGACTCCCACCATTGTGTCCCCTGTGCTGTGTTCCCCATGGATTTTAACCGAGAGGGTCTCCAATCATCCCCCAGGGTGCCAGTGTCAGCTTGCATGGACTCATAGCTTTCCTTGATATAGAGAGCTACCTCCCCCGCCCCTTTTTTCCACATGATCTCTCCTGTACAGGGTATAG